TTCCTGAAGAAGCTTTATCGTCTGTCTTCATGTTCTTCCAACAATCTCCAGACATCCTACAAAGGGAAAAGCTGAAGTCTGTGCGTTACTTGCCAATTTCAGGCATTTGTTCCTGCGCTTACTTCATCCGGCTGGAGGTGGGGGTGGGGTGTGCCAGCTACTCACTACATTCTTCCCCCCAAACGGAAACGGTAAACCGCAGCCTTGGCCTGAGCCCTGAACTCTCCTGAGGTCTTGGTCACTGGCAGGAAGCTTCAGCATGCACAGCCTTGAGTGAGCCAGCACAGATGAACTGAGGACACTTCGGGTACTTTCTACTTCCAGATCATTCCATTAGATCTGACCAATGAGTGCGATCTGGGATTCTGAGGAGCTCAAACACTGGGCCAGCCACAGAGTGACTGGGAGATGCTAATGAGGCCCCGCCCCTTCCCTCCAGAACAGGATTTCTGGGCAGCAGTGAGCTCAGGCCTTTCCCTAACCTTCAATTCTCCTCCAAAAGTAAGGCTTTGAGTCGCAGATCTGACAAATTATCACTAATTATTTCAAACAGGGTTTTACTATGCTGCCCTGGCTGTCCTGGAACTCACTCTGTAGTCAGACTGGCCTGTTAACTCAGAGATCTGCCTGCCTCTGCCTTGCAAGTGCTGGGATTAAGCTGTGGCCACCACACTGTTATTTTGTGTAGCTCGTGTCTCCCTCCCATTAGCTCTTGACCCTGTCTTGCTGGGCAGTTTGCTGTCAATCCTTCTAGAGTGCCAGGAATCCTGCTGACTACGGCATCTACCTTCTTTTAAAAGCTACTGGGGAACATTTCAGATATAAAACTGTTAACTCTTGTCTTTAAAAAAAAAAACTTAATAAAGTTATATAACTTTTAAAAATAACTTTTTTTGAGATGTACTGAAAATATGATTAGTATCATTTTTCTCCTTCCCATTCATTCTCAAACTCGTGGCCTGTTTTAAAAATGCCCCTTCTCTCCTCCCAAATATGTAAGTATAACCTGCTCAGTCCATATAATGTTACTACTATGTTTTGATTTCAGGGCCAATCACTTGGTATTAACTTTCTACATGACAGTAAAACAAATTCCTAAATTTTTTTTTTTTTTTTTTGAGACAGGGTTTCTCTGTAGCTTTGGTGCCTGTCCCGGAACTAGCTCTTGTACACCAGGCTGGCCTCGAACTCCCAGAGATCCGCCTGACTCTGCCTCCCGAGTGCTGGGATTAAAGGCGTGCGCTACCACCGCTTGGCCAAATTCCTAAATTTGTAGCTCCTGAATTCAACAACTGAGCATTTTTGCTTCAAATATGCTAACTAAATACAATCTATATCATTACCTAAACGTGATATACATGGTTCTTGCTGCATTGTTTGAAAGCAAGGGATGGGCTAGGTTCTCTGCTCCTAGCTGCTGGGGCACAACACTGCTTCAGGAAAATCGAGATCACTCTAAATTATTTTAAAAAGGAGGAATACAATACACTGTCCTACCTGAGAAAGTGAACAGTTCCTCAGGACTGTGAGATGGTCAGCATAAATTCAAGTCTCATCAAGGCTACCGGACTCTCTAGTCTGTATCCTCAACACTGCTACCTTTAACAGCAAATCACCATCCGTGTGCACACCAACTTCCCACCCTGGCTGTTCATCGCTTGCTCCACCAGTGCCTGCTCCATCAGCTTCGCTAATTCACTGACCCTTGATGTCTCCTTAGCGCTCCACTCCACACTCTTACACCTCAGTCTTGCTGCAGTACAGAATCTTAATCTAACAATGTCCAGAGGCTGGGCTACAGAGTCAGAAACTCTTTCAAAAAGAAAAGAAAACCTAAATATTAAAAACAAAAAAAGAGGGACAAATCTTTGATTAGCTTAAGAAAACCTTTTTGTTCTCTAAAAAAGTACCAAACTGAAAGAAAATGTTCACTGCAGATAAATCTGAAAGATCCTAGGTCTAGAATCTATAAAACTTTTTGGGGCTGGAGAATGGGCTCAGCTCCCAGTGCCCTCTTCTGGTTTCCGTAGGCACCTATAGACATGTGCACACACTCATAACCGGACAAGCATACAATACAAACATGCATGCACACATGCAGGGTTCTTGAGTCTGGACCATTCTCATATAACCTCAGCAAGTCCACCATGAGCGGCAGGGAGACGACAAGTGGGGGCACTCTGTCAGTCTCTTTTCAGGAGACGCACAGAAGATGGAGGGACAGCCAGTGGTGTGGACTCGGATGCCTTAAGTGGCCCTCAGCTGCAAGCACAGCCCTCCAAGAAGAAAGGCTTCCTTCACTCAGTAAATACTGTCAGGCTTCCTTTCTCCCTACAGACAACTGATCATGCTTTGGGGCTAGGACGCAGGAGAGCTATGTTTCTGTAAGCTGAGATTATTGTTATTTTGAACTAGCTATAATTTTAAAGTACTACAACACTTGAAAAAAATCACCTTTAAAACACACACTTGGGATACAAGAATAGACTCCTAGGCACCTCTCAGTCCACCAGTCAGGAATACGTGAGCCTGATTCACAGCCCACTCTGCATGCTTCACACCGCTTTCAACACACTGCCCTTTGGTGCACTTCTTCCAAATCTGACAGCAAAGTTAGCCTGGAGTGAGTCAGTAACCCACAGCAGGACGCATGTGTGGTGAAGTTGGGCACTGCTCCCATTGACGTGAGAGGCCAGTCTGCTCTTGCGTGAGCAAACTGGATTAAGGTGAGTTCCCTCAGGGCCTGGGGATTGCACAAGAAGGATCCCATCCAGAACTGACACCTTCTGAAGACAGCCTGAACATGCTAGGGACACTGGGACTCGGCAGCTCAGACCACAGACACTTGTGCTGCTGTGGCAGCTGTGCTCACGCATCTGGAAGCCATGCTCAGATGCCTTCATCACTGACTGCGATGCCTTCAGTCAACGTTATCGCAGGAGATGAGCATGGATCTGGCTCTGCTGCTTACCTGCGGCGTCATCTTGGGCAAATCATTCAATCTCCCCGATCTAGGAAGAGAGGCCTACTCCTATGTGCTGGCAGTTAGGCTGACAGGTCGGAACCCTGGATTGTCTTTTCAGGGAGAAGGCCAGAGTGAACAGCAGAGGGAGGAAGGGTACTCTTGAGAAATACTTGCAGCATACACCTTCAGAACGCTGACTCTGGCTGTGTGCAGAGCGCCACTCTGGACATGCACAGTCATCTGAACATAAAGATGCAGATTTCTTGGTGAGGGAGAGCACAGTGAGGGTGTAGGCTCCACAGCTTGTCAACAGCAAGCCTGGGTCTCTGTTTAGCTAGCCTAGTCCCAAGCCACGAGGGCTTTGCTGCCAGAGCTTTTACAGTTCCTGTAACTGCTTATCTTTGCTTGACACGGGGAGCATCCATTGACTCCAAATCCAGGGGTTTGCCAGCTAACCATTAACACCAGCTCTGGCCCGATTCAAACACCCCCCCCCCCAAAAAAAAATCCAGCCACCAGTGGGAAGGAAGACTTGAAGTCAGTAATATTTGGCCACACCAAATGATCAGAGACTCTCAATCATGCACCTGACTTGCAGTGTGTTCCTGAGCGTACCCCATCTTCTCTGTAGCCTGTCCCAACTGATGTTAAGCAGCTCAAGTGAAGGGAGTTATCATGTCTGGTTCCTAAGTCCTAGTCCACATGTAACAGTAAATACTGTGTCTCTCCAAAGCTTCTTGTTTCTACCCTGCAGTCGGGTGGCGTGTGGAGCCATGCCCAGCTCTGCCCGTCCCTGCAGAGCCCTAGGTTAGCCAATTCCTTGTTAGCCAGTTCTTGGGTCTCAGTCTCCTCGCTGTTCCTGACCCACCACACTAGACATATGAGGGTACATCAGGGAGTCGAGAGGTGACTGTAAAGCAGTATAAACCTTTTCTTGGGTACAAGAGTGGGATGAGGCTAAGAGGTCTGCCTCAGCTGGCAAATGAGACCGCTCTCCCAGTGTACTGGAAGAGCACCTGCAATACACTCCGATTACCTCTCCGCTCAAAGGCCTACACGAGAGGCCTGCGCTGCTGCTGCCGCCACTGCTGCTGCTGCTGCTGCTGCTGCTGCTGCTGCTGCTGAGCACAAGTTTATGCAGATCTTTCCTGACTGTGAACTGGCAGCTGGGCATGTAAGAAAAGAATGGACATCAAATGCGACGGTCACTTACAAAGTTTACTGAGGATTCACTCGTGAACAAGGGACAGCAATAGCTCTTTAAAGGTCATTTGCAAGCATGAGTTTTTACTTCCATAGGGCCACAGGCATACCCCAGGCATGTTGGGAAGCCCTTCTTTAGAGGAGCAGTGTGTGGTATTTCAGTGACGCATCCCAGGGAAGCACAGGAGGTAAAGTGTCTCTTTTTTTTAGTCCGTCACTCCTCTGGTCCCTCAGAACATGAACTCTAGAGTCCTTTCTCTTTCTGGCCTGAGAGAGTTCCTGTCCAGTGAGTCTTATCTGCCTCCTCATGCAGACCCTGCTCTGCACTGGAAATCTGTCTGTATCTGGAGACACGGCGGGGGGAAGAGGGCAGTGGTGGTGGCGGCTGTAACTAAGGAAGCTTGACCTTCCTTCCATTCTGCAGATCCACAAGGTGTGCTGTGCAGGATCAGGATTAGGAGCTGCAACTTTGTAAACTGATGGATCCAATCACGCAGGAATGGAGGAAAAACACCCTACACAGAATGGGTAGTTTCTATTTTCAAGGCTGATTTGCAGCCCCCAAATTTTAGTACTGCAGGATGCAGAAGGCCCAGAGGGAGCACCTCATTACACGTGTCTCCAAGTGCAGTTTCTGATTACTTCATAGCCAAGCAGAGGGCAATCTGGAACTCAAACTACATTATACTCTACTCTTTCCTATGTGGTCTTACTTTAAAACTCAAAATACCTTTCACTAGACAGCAAGCCAAGGGCGGAGACACACTGTAATTCCAATATTGATCACTCAAGTTAATAAACTGAGAATGCTGTCCCTGCAGGCCCACACAAGATACTTTACAAGGGACTTAACATCTCAACAAAAGAGAGGCCCAGTGACTCAGCAGTCAAGTTTCCAACAACAGCAATTCCTAAGTTAATGATTGTAACGCCCCCATGGAACCTGGGACAGCAGAAGCTCAGAGCTCAGGATGGTGTGGTCCAGTCTGCAAGCGGGTCAGGCTGGCAGAGAGCTGCCTGTGCACCGCAGGCAAGGCCCTGCACGCGTCTTTCTACTGCTAGCATTATCTCACCGTGCAAAGGGCGGCTTTCACCATGCCATCTCCACACACCTCACCCGTCTCTCCTTCCCAACACTCCCCTCACGCTGTCCATGTCTTTTATGTAAATGTATGGATTAGGTCAGTGATTTTTGTTGTTGGTTTGAGACAGGATTTCCCTGTGTACTTCAGGCTGTTCTGGAACTAGCTCTGTAGAGGACACTGGCCTGGCACTCAGATAATTCCTCTGCCACCCAATGCTGTTTTTGTTTCTAAATTTAGATTCCATATGTAAGAGGACACATGCAGTATGACTTGTCTTTCTGAGTCTGGCTTGTTTCACTTAACACAATGACCCTCAGTTCTATCCATTACCCTGAAAAGGCCTGTGGGAGAATTGTCTGTATTCTGTCAATCATGTTATAAATAAACGCTGATTGGCCAGGCAGGAAATATAGGCAGGAAAACCAGACAGGAAATAGAAATGATATAATGAGAACAGGAGAATTCTGAGAAGGAGGAAGCTGACTCCTCCCACTCCTACCCAGACCACCGAAGCAGCAGGATGTGATCTGCCCCACAGAAGAAAGGTACTGAGCCACATGGCTAACATAGATCAGAAAAATGGGTTAATCAAGATGTGAGAGTTAGCTAGTGAGAGACTAGAGCTAATGGGCCAATCAACTTATAATTTATGGAGACCTATGTGTGATTTTCTTTGGGGCTAAACAGTTGTGGGGCACCAGGCGGGAAAAAAACCCAACAAACAAGCAGGCCCGTCCATGTTACAAATGCCCATAGTTTCTTCTTGTTGTAGCTCATACCCTTCAAGATAATTTCCAAACAACAGAAGTGTCTACTGGGAGGGTTCTTAGAAGAAGCACTGGGATTAAAGTCTGAAGATGCTGGCTGGTGAAAGAAATATCGAGAAGTAGCTATGATTATGTTCAGTACTACGTTAACTATATAACAGCCTTTGGAAAAAACACCCTCAGGTTCAAAATTAAGGAAGGAAGGAAGATGTGTCAAGACAACACAAAGTGAGAACCAAAGTGCAGGTAGTAAATCAAACGCTGGCCGCAACTATCTATTCACAAGAGAAAGGAGAGGGACCAGTGTCCCGGAGGGTGTCCTGCTGCAGCTGGTCAGTGAAGAGTCTGAGCATGCCTAATTACAGAGCCATGTGTAATGCATCCTCTCCCCCAGGACCTGCGAGCCCAGTGGCCACTGCTGTGCCCTGCAGCTTCACAGGCTGTGGGTCACATGTGCAGTTTCTTTAAGAAGAAAGCTGCAGGGGCAGTGAGTTTTCTCCTATCTAAAGGTCTGACTTGACACATCACCTGCAGTCTCTCCCACCTCCTGCTGTCCCCATGAGGATTGGCTGTCAAAGCAGCTCCTGACGGAAGCTTTTAGCAAGGCTCACGCTGTACCCACCACCAGCTAGAACAGAGCATCACGTTAGCTCAATGGAGACACACCCACTGAGGGTAGTACCCTGGCTGCCTCTGGCAAGGTGGCAGCCGTCGCAGTCTGGACTCTACAGACGGAGGGGCTGACCCAGGAACCAGACCTACCGACAAGCATCTTATCACTCCTGTTCCTTGGGAGTATCAGTGCTTCCGAGTGCCTGGACATACACATACATGTTCCCCTTTGTCAAGTGTCATAAAGGGATCTCGTGACTGATGGCACCTCTAACCTGGGATTAGAAGGACAAACAGCTTAAGCCCTGGATTAGAAAGATCTAGATGTCAATTTCTCTTCTGCTGTTTGTTATACAGCCTTGGGCAAGCTTCTTCACCTTTTCTTTAGGATTAATTCTGAGAGCTGTGAAAACTTAGAAAAGAAAATCTGTGGATGGCAGCAGACATCTGCAATCTCAGCACTCGAGGAACTGAGGCAGGAGGATCATCTGGGCTACACAGAATGATTGTCTCAAAACAAATTCTCACTCCCTTTCTCGCATACCTCCCTCCCCACCTGAGGGGTTTTCAATAAATGTGTCTTTTCTAACATTTCAGTTAAAACATCAAGATTGTCTCTACTTACAATCAGGATGTTAAGATTGCAGAAAGACTACAACAGGACTGAGCATTAGTAACTAAATGCTGTGGGTAGGTCTGGAGGTTTCTTTGGAGGCCAAGAGATGTCAAAACAAAAGATCAAGAACTGAGTAAAAGAGATTAAGATCAGAAACAGACTGAGGTATTCTGGCCATTTCAGCCCGCCTACTCAGGTCCCACAGCTTTACTGCCTTCATGGTACTCCAGGGGCTGGAGGAGTGAAGCCAGAGTACAGGAAGAGGTGCCAGACTCCATAAACCATGCACATGGAAGGGACATGCCACGTCTTCTGTAGACAGATTAGCCATATGGTGCTAGTCACCCTGGGGTTGTAAGACACACAGATGACACCAGGATTGGGGAGAAACACTGTGATAGACACAGGCCAGGACTAGCCGGTGGGGCCTGGGTCAGCGTCCCAGGGTGGCTGGGATAGCCTTCATGCACAGGGTATGCACATGTCTGTCTCTAACATGGTTTGGCTGGAGGGGGAGAAAGACTGTAGCATATCCTCTAAAGGCCCTTCAGCCCAACACCGGTCCTCTTCTGTTTCCTGACTCCTTTTACAAGTTATGTCACCAGCCCCAATCACACTCAGACTGACATGACTTTTGAAGCACAACCAAGATGCAAAGAAGTGTTCCCTGCAACTTTAAGTGAGGACATTTGGCCTCACAAAGAATGGCAAAGGAAGGGGAGGCCAAGACCCAGGAGCAGGCAACGCCTCCAGCCTGAATCTAGCCACTCTGCAGGACATGGCCATGATAAGGCCCTGCTCTGGAGAAAGAAATGAAAACCCTAGGTATGGGCTGGGTATGGCCCAAGCAGTTAAGAGCACTGGCTACTCTCTCAGAGGCCTGTAGTCTGGTTTCCAGCACCCACATCACACACACACAACACACACACACATACACACACACACACACACACACACACGGGCTGAGTGGAGTACTACTGTGATTATTTTATCTCTTTGTGTCATGACAAGACCTACTTCCAGAAAAGGGACTCCTGCAAAGGCCACCATGAACAGACACACGGGTGGCTCACTTTGCCAAGCTCTTTCCTTTAGCGGGTCTTTCTGTAAAAATAAAATCATCTTAAAATAAATTTCCTATCCTAGATATTTAGACAATATAGGTCCTAAGAACTAGGCAAGATGGTATCCCTCCACATCCCTTCCATGGGCTCTGAGGAGGGAAAGCCAGCACTGAGTGTCACTGGAGCTACGAACAGCTGTGTAGGAGAACCTCCCCTTCACACTGACAAGCTAGGTTTACACACTCCAGGGAATGCAAGCTTTGCAATAAGGGGGCCGCTATGAGAACTAAAGCATGAATGACAGCTGTTTGAAATCCTACCTAGAAGGACATGCAGATTTGCTCACAGGGCTTCCTGGCAGAGATCTGGGTACAAATCCCATGCCTTTGACTTTATTTTCTCCTTAGACAAATTATTTAATCTCTTGGCTGAGGTTCCTGCCCTTACACAAATAGAGACAGCATTACACTGTCTTACGTGCTTATGAAGGAAAAGCTGGTGGCTGAGCGCCAGCGTGCTACGGGTGCTGAATGTCTTGTGTCCTCTCTGGCTGGGGCAGCTCAGCATGTGGTCTGCTGTCTCCTGGGGCAGGGGCAGCTGGTCCCTCAGGTTTAGGAGGAAATGAGTCCTTCCTCCCTGTAGTCTCAGCTGGGCAGCATGGGTCAGTTAACTGCTTTCCCTAAGCAGCCCTCACCGGCCCCTGCACGATTTCCTCCTCTGCTCTATCTTCTAAGTGCCCAGAGCATCTTCTACATGGGATGTCTACTCAGGCCCTGGAGCTCACCATGTTCTAAGGACATTGCTCAATTCTTTCTCCTGTGGGAAGGCTTGTTTTATTAAGAACTACTGTGATATAAGTTTTCATCTAAAGGGAAAACCCCACAAAGGCCTGTGAGGTCCAATTCTGGCAGACAGACGTTCAACACTCATTTTTCCATTTCTTTCTGCAAGAGCTAGTAAATGTGTAACACACAGCCAGGCCTTCCCAGGTTGTTGAAAAGCCTGCCGATAGCACACACACATCTGTTCTACTTTGTTTTAAACAGTGGCTTTCCTTTCCCATCCAGAATTTTCTGCAAAAGCCAATGACATGCAGGAACCTCTTCTGTGGTTTGGACTGGGAGTCCCGGGCTCCAGACCCGGCGGCCAGCCTGTCTGGGATTGGCTCTACTCCCAGACCTGTGACCCCAGCGGGCCCAGGCCTACTGATGCCGTCCTTTGTCTGAAGTAAGCAAGCCATTTTTCATTTCCTCCAAAATGAGACTTTTTTTTTTTAAACCAAATGACATTAAGTGTGAGGCTGGGTTCTGCTTTCAACCTCACCTAAAGAGATTTTACCCATGCCTGAAAAGCTGTTCTGCCTAAAAAAAAAAAAAAAAAAAAAAAAAAAACCTGAGTTTTCTGAACATTCAAAGCCATTAAGGACATTGGCTTCAACTTCAGAAAAGCAAGATAAACAAACCCATGCCTGCTGGAGCCTCTGCCAAGCACACTCGAGGCCCCTTGGAGGCCTCTGTATGGTCGGTCAGAGCCACCCTCAAACATTTCGCAGGTACAGGAGACTCACTTTGGGTCCACTGCTCAGTGATGACATGTGGTCACCAAGACTGGTTCTTCTGTAACCTCTATGCAAACAAGTCAGTTCTCTCATAGGTCTCAAAATAGAGCAGGATGCTTCCTCCCTCCCCAGACCACACTCTTCCAGTTCAGGGAGCCTGGAGAGGGAGGTCTATAGAACCAATTGGCCCCAAACTTCAACTGTGATTAACTCTGGATGACCTGAAATCGAAGGTACAGGAATTGGGTCTGATTCTGGATTCTAGAATTTCCCCCAATTCTGATTTAATAAAACTAGGAGGAATGGGTTTCATGGACAGTACTGCAAGGAGGAAGGAGGGAAGGGGGTATTAGGAAACCTCTTGGCCATTCTTACATTTTGTGTACACGACACTACAAGACAAACAGAAAAATAAGGTGCAAGTCCCAACTTCTGGACCACAGGCTACACTGTAAGCGTGCACCCAGGCATCTGAACTCAGTGGAGCAGCAAAGTTCCGGCAGGCCCCAGGCCGATCCCAGTGCTGAGAAAGGACTAGTCAATCAAGGCTGGCTTTTCCCTGTAGGACACTTGAGCTTGGCAACACAATTATCTGTCACATGGTGTATGTGGTCAAAAACTGAAAAAAAAACCTCAACTTTCAAAAGTTTTAAGAGGGTCAATACTTGGAAAGCAAAAGCCCCACTGTTTTCCCTTCCCTTTCCGGAAGCTCTAGAGGGGACATCACAGTTTGCCATGGTGGAACATTTGCATCATGCACGTTTTGCTTGTTTGTAACAGTTTTATTGGTTTCCCAACAGTCACCACTCAGTCAGGAGAGCTTTTGTGTTGTTTTTGGGAAGTTTGGCTGACATGACTGGTTGGTCAGTCAGACCAGCATGTTTTCTTTTGTTGTTTGCCTCTCAGGCAAAGAGGGAAGTAAGTTTCCAGCTACAGATTCGGTAAACTGAGACCATCTTTCTCTGCTGCGTGCTGGGTGTCTAAGCCAGATGGCTGTACGAAGGAGCTTTCAAAAGGAACTTTTTTCTTCTCTTGCTTTGGACATGATAAGCATCTGAACTTTTTAAAGCAACCAACAGAATGTCTATAAATAAATAAATGAAAATAATCCAGGGTGGGGAGATGGCTCAGCGGATAAGAACACTTATTCTAAAAGCGTTAAGGCTCACGTTCAGACCTTCAGCACCCACATAAAAAGCTAGGCGTGACTGTGCATTCCTGGAACCCCCTCATTATGGACAGGTGATCCAAAGAACCCGCTAGCCAGCTAGCTTAGTAGCTTAGGCAAGGGGGAGCTTCCATCTTACTGACAGATCCTGTCTCAAACCTGTAGGGTGGTGATAGGTGGCTTCCACGTGTGTGTGCATGCTTGCCTGCATTAACACCTCCCCCCACAAAAACAACCTGAACCTCACAGCCATGTTTTATTTTAATACAATACCAATGGTCTCTATTTCTCCCCATGCCACACTAGTCTTCACTCTCTCAAACCACAAGTTCAAACAAAACCCCATTTAAGAATTCCCTCCCTCTATTTCTAAAAGACATCTGTAAGTGTATAATTTGGGTGTACTGAAATAAGATGGCCAACCACGGACCTTAACTGCAATTATGGGAAAACCTTCTGTGTGTTCTGCCAGAAATTTCCCATGTTCTCTGCCCATCCCTGTCACACTGAAAGAGCCCTCACAGGCTTGCAGGCCAAATGGAGAAGACCCAGTCAGCCTGGGACAGCCTGCCCAGGGCACTGTTCCCAGGGTGGTGACTCAGCTCTGGAGGACCACCTGCCGCCGGCATGTTGTTACTTTCCAGGTCATTACAGTCACGAGGGCAGAGGGACCCAAAAGACAGCAAAGAGAGCCAGGCCAAAGGCCGTACCTGAAGGAAAGTCTTTGTTTCAGAAGAGCCAGTCCTGTGGTTGAGGGGCTTCACACCGGCAACAAGACCCAAGCCACAAGGTCACAAGGAGGAAACTGAGGTGAATGCCATGACAGGAAATGAAGGCAGGCTCGCAGGGCACTCTTGCTTATAAAGAAGACTCTGAAGCAGCATAGAGTAGCACAGCCATGAACTCTAGCACTTTGGGGTGTGTGAGTGGGAGGATTAGGAATTCCAGGCCAGACTCAGCCACATCGTAAGTTCGAGGCCAGTATAGCCTACTTGAGACCCTATTTCAAAAGGAAAAAAAAAATGACTCTGATAATCCATCCTTGCAAAACACCACGGGGAAGGCTTTGGTGAGTTCTAAGATGTGACTGACACTGGCTACAAGATGTCTGAGTGTGCCCACGGCCTCTCTATGGCGAAATCCAGCTACCCCAGGGCAGCTGCTGTAAAGGAACCCTCTGCTAGGGAGATAACCTGCTGCTTTCACGTGGGCTTCTCCCCTCCTGGTCTGTTCAAGACAATGGATGAGTTGCCAGAATCTCAGAAACTGAGTTTTTCCTCTGGGAAGTCTTTTTTTGTTGTTTGTTTTGTTTTAACTCTTTCATCCTTTAAATGTAAAGAACTTTAGCTGTCCAGTTCTAACAATTCCTACTTGTTGGGCAATAATTACCCAGATCCATTCTGACATGCTGCCTCTTCTGGACTCCCAGCAATCACGCTGATGGTGTCGAAACAACTCATGTTCCCTGGCTCCGTACGTGTCAAGTACTTTCAACCGACAACACTTTCAAGTCCACAGTGCACACAGACATCGTGTCAAGTGCTAGGGCTGTAAAGAAAGGATGGCATGGTCATCAAGGGAAATGGGGCTCTGAGAGGAAGTGGCTGGCTCTGTCTAAAGCAGCAGAAGCTTCTCTGTGAACTCAGAGCTGTTTGTACAGAATTTTAAAGAAGAGGTCCACAAGGAAGGGAGCGAGGTGCTGACTGGTACCCGTGTGCTCAACTTCACACGGCATTTGCTGCTTTCTATCTGCAACCTGAGTGAGGCCTGGGGGCCACAATCTTTTCATGAAGGCTGAGCACTCCAAGGTGTGAGGGGAGGAGACTACAGGACGGGCCTGGAATGGGGCATTTCATAGGAGAAAGGCATCTTCTATAGGTGTTTTCTTAAATCAGTACCATATTCCCCAGCCATGGTCTTGGCCACTAGTCGCAAGCTGCCTGCGACAGTCTCTTCTCTGCTGTCACTCTTCTGAATGGCTCTTGTAGCATGCTCCAACCTCTTTTGATGGTTCCCATGGTGACCTGCACAGTGTCTTATCCTCAGAGAAGTTCAACCAAACGCTCCAGAAGTGCCTTTGCCACACCATCTATCAAATGGGCATCCAGTTGCTAAGCCCTTAAGTTCAGGTACAGACCACAGGGAGTAGGGTGGGTCATTTGACGGGGGCCAGGACTAAAGCGCTACTGAAGAGGTCTGGAAAGAGGGTGGTAGGAACAAACTTTTAAGCAATGCGCCTGCTGGCACTGGGGGTGGCTGAGGACACTTTCTATGCAAAAAGGCGGGGTTTGTGAGCAGTGCTCACCAGTTAGCTTCAGCACCCCCACTTGGTTCCTGGCCAGTCCTCTAAACCCCGTGAGCACCCCCAAGTTTTTTCTGAGCTCCACCACTTCAAAGACAGCCTCTCTGCCTGCTTTGATTCTCTTTCCTTTATTCCTTCTCGTAGCCAGTGAGCAATGGTCAGATGCCAGGCACGATCCTATTACATAGAGACCCAGAGACAAAAGGGAGTCTCTACTTTCAACTAGCTTGTGGAAGAAGGAAAACATCTGATTATAACACAGTTGTTAAATCCTCTCAGATTTCCTCTCTCCCTCCCTCTTCTCCTTCCAGCCATTTGGCTTTCCATTTCTTTCTTTTTCTTCCAAAAAAGGAGCTGAGGCATGCTGAGGGAAGTGAGCCAGGCGCAGTTAATAAAGAAGTTGATACTGGGGGGCGGGGGTTGAGGTGACTGTCAGATCAATGTTCATCAGCCAGGTAAGTTGGAGGGGAAGGCACTGTGGAGCAGAGAGGCTGGCAGAGCTCCTGACAGCTGGGTTAGAGCCTGGGACCCGAGAGAACTGATTCACCTTTCAGACAGACTGGCCTGGAGCAGAGCAGAAAGGCGTATGGAAGGCGACTCTACAGCCACAGAAACTGAAACACAGACTAAAAAATGCCAAAGCAGAAATGCTAAATCCTTAAGCTGGACTGATGTGTGCAGTGAGTGTTGGGATCACTGTTAAATGTCCTTCCTGGAGCATGAAGCAAGTCACACATTGCCTGGCTCTGGCCACAAGGTGGCAGCCTTGCACAGCCATTGCAATGGAAAACAAAGCCCTTTAAAGGGGAGGGAATGGGGCTCCCACCCACCGTAGGGCAGAGCCCCCACCACAGGGCAGGACCACATCAAGTTCACAGGAATGCCCTGGAGGGTAATACTCGAGCAAAGCTCTCACACTGAAAACGCTGCAGAAGCACTGGGAAGTCAGCGGGTCTGGGTGTTACAGGCTGGGCCTGTAAGCAACACTCAAAAGTGGGAAACGATACAGGGAGACCACAGAGAGCTCCAATTAGAGCAAGGCAAGCAGGTGAGAGTCGGCTCAGTCTGAAAGCAGCAGAGTTAGGACTTTTCCAGTATATATTATGCTAGATCTTCTGAGCATACTCGACTCAGGGAAGTGGTTATCTGCTCCCAATTCCACAAGTAGGGAGAGGTGGCGAGTCAGAGGAAGAGGCAGGACCAGGGGCTCCCAGTCCTGTTCCAGCACTTCTTCACTGTGCCACAGGCTGGGCCGCCCAGCAAGGCAACCACCATGCAAATAAAAAAGGCATGGTAATACAAAAAAGGCATGTTAAAAGCCCTCCAGTAGGGATGTATGCTTTTCTTGTTACATACACTAACCAGCTCACCATTGCAAGGGGCCCAGGGACGGTCCCCTGCACTCATCACCCACTGAAGCTGCACTTGTACTGCCAGAGGGCTTTAATCAACACCCCCAGTTGCTTACGTCACTGCACCCAAAGTACTGTAGCAGCCACACCATTTCTACGTCAGGGCCTCAGAGCAGACAGAGGAATGGAAACAAGAGTTCTCCAGTCCCCAGGTTTTTGGGGGCAACCACAGCTCTGAGAAAGAACTTCTGGTCACACCACACACTTGGCAGAAAGGAGGGACACTGGACGCACGGAGGAAAAAAGAGATGCCATGTCCACAGATGTCAGTTTGGAAGCTACTTCTTCACATTGACCATGCACACCTTTCTCCTGCATGTCCGAAATGGTAACACATCCAATCAGAGTGAAGGGCACTCACTGCTGACTCTTCCATTGGGACTACAGGGTGGGGGAGAGACCTATTTCACAGCAGCCCTGATCAGCTAAAAATACCCTGAACTTCTCAAACTTCCTCTTGTCCGGTTACAGCCCCAGACGCAAGCTCAGCACAGCCTTCCCATACCGTCCGCCGCCGGCTGCTTACGGCCACGTCTGGCTGGAGGATGAAAACTTTTCCCACCTTTCTCCTCAAACAGCAGAACAGACGGTCTTAAAAAACAGCTGTCCAAGTGAGCACTTTAGCACCTCAGGAACATTTTAAAAGGAGGGATCCTACCACCACCACCACATGTCCTTCCTGTCACTACAGATGGCACGGCCACTCTTTGAAAGCCCAGCTGTAAGCTTTACACTGGCATGGAAATCACTTCAGAGAGTCAGGCAAATGAGGTCCTGTAAAGCGAAGAGCTCAGCAGAGCGAGCTCTGTGAAGGAGCTGCCCTGACCTCCTCCTGCAGCTTCAAAGATGTTCGCTATTGCACAATCATAACCTTGAAAGAATTTGGCCTTCCCTGCCAGCAGCAACTCCACATCCACCTGTCCCTACAGGTAGTAAAAGATTAGACGCTCAGAACCACAGTGTTGACACAACACTTTTGGGCTCCACGGCGCTTCCTTTTAGCTCCCACCCCAAGCAGCCTCGGAGGTCGAAGTTCACCACTTCTAAAAAAGTGGAGCAGTGTACTTCCAAAAGGCAGAATGGGAGGGGGGGACTGGATGGAGAAAAGAAAATGGATGCTCATGGGGTCTGCACATGAGGGTGCGCAGGACTGTACAGGGGTGTCTCAACCGTGCTGAGGTTGCAATGCAGAGAAAAAAGGTCCTTTTAATTCTGTGGACGCTGCTAGGCTTCTCTTTCCAGAACAACTGCCATCTGTGTTTGGCATCCTATCACCTTTCTCTGGTTTCATCACCCTTGGCCATGGGAACCGCAGAAGAACAATCTGGGTCCTCTGTCCCCCAGCTCTAACAGCCTAGTAGCCACTGTTGCACTCAGGGGCACCTGACATGGGGCTGGCTTCAGATTCCTTGTTGCAGCTTTCACTGCCTTCTTTGTTTATTCCCCTCAACAAGGGACAGTCATAGGAACAGGAAGTGGCAAGCAGTGGCTTAGGGTGGGGCTCTCCTAAGAGCCTGGAAACTTCCCAGGGGCGTATCCAGAGATTCCATGAGGCTTCTGAAATGGAGGCACCCAGTGTACTGCCTTCATTTTGATCCTCTAACATTGAATTTGCCCCTCCGTAGGGCAACGCTTCTCAACCTATGGCTCTAACGACCCTTTCATAGGTCGCCCAAGACCATCAAGACCACACAGACATTTACATACAGTAGCAAAACAATGAAGTAGCAACAAAAATAATCTTATGGTTGGAGGTCACCGCATTAGAAGGTTGAGAACCACTGCTCTAGAGCCTTTTCTACAGGCTCCCCGTGACCCCTCTGTGCCAAAATCTCCTCCTAGAGCCTCCCTTTCAAGGGTCACCTAGGTCCGCACAATGGTAAAGGCCACACTGCTGCCCTGAACCACTATCCATCATTCTCAGCTCAGTGCTGACCGGGGACTGGCACACAGCACAGGACAAACACAGTCAGTTAGCCTTGGTCTTCCTGAGCTGAAGGCCTCCAATCTTCCAACACTAGAGGAGGAAGGTCTCTCTAGAGAGCGAGACATAAAACATACAATTTCAGGCCAGTATCGCAATCACTGAAAAAAACCGATTAACTTTGGTCCTGTGTTCTACTATGGTGGCAATATTAATTTCTCTGTGAAATTAAAAATCCCCACTTTGACCAATATTCCCTAAAAGAAAGCCAAGTTGAATATTGGGCTGATTCATTCTTTCTTTCTTTCTTTCTTTCTTTCTTTCTTTCTTTCTTTCTTTCTTTCTTTCTTTCTTTCTAATTTATGAACTGCTGCCTGGACTCTCCATCCTTCAGCTTACCTGCTTGTGAAAACTCGTGTCTAGCTCCATGTGTCCAAAGACATTTCCAGCTTTCTCGCTTTCCCGGTTCCCCTGCAGGCCTGTGGAGAACACCGCCCTGCTGTTGGTAGGACCTGTTCAACTGTTTAATTACACAGCTTGTCCTAGCCAGCAACCTCTCAGGCCTCCTTTGTGCCAAGCACATGGGCCGCCCACGCACATTCTCTTGCTCACTTCCTCATTGCCCAGGTATACACACCTCCCATCTTCACTACTTCTCACTAACACAACCATGGTTTGCACATTCAATTTGCTCTTGTGCTTTACCTAAATGTCATAGCTTTCTACTTTGTCAAATCTCTACAATAACAAGATGTAGCCGGCCTGGCCTAAACAAAAGATTCAATGTCACTATCTTGCAATTTGGAGAGATTCTACCACTTGGGAGTGCACAACTTTTAAGTGAAAACGCGTGGGGGAGGGGCAAGAGGCTGCTAATTGGGGGAGAAGAGAGCAAAAAGGGAAAAAACCAAGTCCCGTTGATTGGGACAAGAGCAACACAACACATGACCTTTGTAAAAGACTAAGGAAGAGCCACAAGGGAACCAGGAAACAAGATGTAGGCCTGCAGAGTTGAGGCCCTGGCTGTCACTCACCAACCAAGGGTCAGCATGGGGCAAGCTGCTACCTCCTCATCAGTGAGATGGGGACAGAGAAAACTATCCAAGCAGCTGTGAAGATCTACATATGTGTGAACATGTTACACAGATCTGTAAGTTCTGACTCTCATTCAAAGGCTGGGTATTTACCCCAACTCCTAAGTCAGGAAGGCAAACACTGGTGAGTCATAAGACATCTTGGGAGTACCCAGAAGGGGTGTGTTCCTCTGAGGTGGCAGAGGGAGGGACAACTTCAGCCCTTTCCTACTCTGTCTATCTGGTGGATAACATCACTGCAAAGGGGAAGCAGGCCCGGAATGCACGGGAGGCCAAGCTCCCCCCACAGAAGAATTACATAGGAACAGGCAGCAATCATATCAAAAGACAACTGATTTCTGGGCTGCAGTGCTGCATTTAAATTATGGGACCTGAACCTGCTGGAAGGCGCAAGAGTAGTGAGCTATCATTTGCTTCTAATCATGAAAAGGGAGTTGGCCCGCCATGAGCCACACAACTTTTCTTACTCTTGGCAGTTGAGTCAGCTACTCTGTGACCTGCCTTTGTTGAAAAGCATCTCTTATGGTCACGGCACATTCTGTAGAGCCCACAGGCAGAGAGCATTCATCATTAATAAGCGGTCACAAGGTGACCTAGAACAAGGAATGCCATGAGGGCATCCAGTTGGATGAGAGTGTTCTTCCGCAATATACTGAAGATACGTGACTACATCAGACTGAATAATGGTCCAACAGATAAAATCTAAAATGAGTCAGGAAACCAAATAGGATACAAATTCAAAGCTTGGGTGTATCTGGCAGACCACTGCGATTTGATTCCTGGTTCCTGCATTTGTTGGCTGTGTGACTGCCAGGAAAATGACTTTAGTTCCCCAACCCTTAGTTTTCTGTGTGTGGAGGGTACTGCAGTGGTCTCCTGCCACAAAAGAACATGGTACAGTGCCTGGCCCACGGTGCATGCCTCTGACATGTGTTGCTGTCACGGGCCTCTTCTATCTGTGTTGAATCGGACTCCATGCTGAGGACAGTTTACATGAATGAGGAACACGAACACAAAATGACTTTTCCCTATTTACTCTGGCCCCGGAACACTGACCATAGGAAATGTGCCCACAGTAACTTGTTCTGGGCTTGACACCATTACCACGTGGTACATTATGGGTGAGTTGGCAGTTTGGCACATGGTAGTTACATTTCAACTTCAAGTGAGGAAATCTCACAGTTAAATAAAAACATAAAAATGCCGTCCTGGAAAATATTCATGACTGGTCTGAAATGCTAAAAGCCCCCTTTAATTTTTTTTTCTGGTAAGTATTCCAGAGGTAATAGCACAAAATACCCCATTGCAGTTCCCAATACCAAGTTTCTAAAATAAAGTCACACCTCATAATTTATATTCTTTCTGCATAGCTGGTCTTGTTTCATTTTGAGACAGGATCTAGCTGTGTGGCCCACCTGGCCTTCAGCTCATTCTGCAGCCCAGGTGGGCCTTGAGCTCTATGCTCCTGCCTCAGCTACCAACATGTTAGAAGTACATGCGTGCTGACCACACATGGTGGCAAATGAAGAGTCTTATTTGCTTTGTTAACCTGCTATGCAGCCTCAGGGTCTATGAATACACATCCCAACTTTAAGTTTCATCTAAACTTAAAAGCTGGTGGCAGGTTATAGTATTTTATCCAGGTAACACTTGGGAGCTAAGGTTCCATCCACATGGGCATGACTCAGCCTAAGAGCAGCATTCCTAAGACACCCTCCTCAGGATTCCACAGGGCTTATGACCTCATCAGTCTTATTTCCTGCACATCTAACCTTGGAGCTAACTCAACCCTAGTCATGGATTTAGAAGGTGATTCATATAAACTGTGCATACCACGGTGATGAGAGGTGTGTGTGTGGGGGGAGTCTTTGCATCTATCTTTATATTTTAACACTAAGGAAAATAATATGCAAGAGAAAAGTTGTGTATGTCCCCCTTTGCTCCTGGATAATTTTGTAAAAGCCAAATAGTGTCCATTAGCATCTGGGCCTCTGTAAAGCTGCTGGCTGCCCTGTCCGGAGTCCTGACGCAGAGGGAGGTAAAGAAGCGAGGTGAGGAAGCACAGAGTGGGGCGAGGGGGACATCAGCAGGAAAAACAATGTATCAGCCCCCCCTGAAAACCATTTGCTCCAACAGAATGCTGGTCTGAACACTGAACCTGCTAGATCCTTAATTTAGGTGATATGATTTCTCTGGGTATTCTTGGAGTTACAAGACTTTGTGGGCTAAAACACAACTGTCCCCTCTGTTGGGAAGCAGGGGATTTAGAGCCCAGGTGACGGTGGATCACAGTGTGTCTCATGGAGGAGGCCATGGCATAATGCTGGTTAGCAATCACCAAAACTCCTGCCAGAAAAGGAACCTTCCCCGTTTGAGTGCAAGAATGTCACCCATTCTACTTACTGGACCTCACCCCACCCCCCATCTCATGGGCAGAGAGAGCCTCACCTAACAGCCTCAAAATCCTAACTCCAGAGCAAAGTCTGGTGAACTTCACCATGACAAAGTGATGCTTAGGAAAGTGGTGGTGGGGGAAATCGTCCCTCAGGTTTCTAAGAATGGATACTAATCTATATTCAGTGGTTTATCATAGAAGTCATGCATTGTTGATAAGGAAACCATCGGTGTAACCATAAATCCAAGGCATTTTTATGGATGGGAAACTGAGGGAAACTGGGGAAAACAGTATGGTACACTGCTTTGGTGAGCATCTGTGACTCCTTCCAGGCAGGCTGTGTATTTTCTGTTTGGCTGGCTGTGTGCTAAGACAGAAGCAGAGGCCAGCTAGCTGTTACAGCAAGGCTACAAACTGTCTCCAGGCTGTGAGCCCATCAAGGGTCATGACCTCCTGGGAATCTATGGTGGTGGCTCTCAGCCTGGACAGAGGGCTGGAGCTCCTTGACCTGAGGTCTTTGAAGACCTGCTGCTCCCTGTAAACAGCTCTCAGGAGGAACAGTCTCCAGGACAGTCTGCTTCCCTGAGAAGGGCTTCCCTGCACAGCAACATCGGGCCAGCAGGAAAGGAACCTGTGACATGGTCTGCTTTTAAGGCAGCTGTTTCTGCCCAGCCCAACCTCCCATTCCCCAGCTACTGTAGCATCCTGGGAAGGACAACCACTGTTAGCAGAGGACACTTGTGACAGGGAACCAGGTTTAAGAAATACATGTATCACCTCACAAGCCTTGGAAGTCAAGTCAGCAAGTTAGACCACAAAAATATGCTGGGAAACAATTTTCCTCGATACATACTGAGCTGTACACTATCTACAGTACTATAATATCAATTCCAAGAGTCCTCAAAAGCAAATCTACAAATTAAAAACAAGCCAAATATAGATTAGGGAAAACTTCTTTAAGACTCTTTTTGGAGTTAAAAATCATGGTTTAGAAAGTGTTACAGCAATAAATACATGTTTTGTTTGTTTTTCTTTCTTTTTTTGTTTTTTTTTTCAGACAGGGTTTCTCTGTCGCTTTGGAGCCTGTACTGGAACTAGCCCTGTAGACTAGCTTGGCCTCGAACTCGCAGAGATCTGCCTGCCTCTGTCTTCTAAAGGCTGGATTAAAGGTGTATGCCATCGTTGACTGGCAAAATACATGGTTTTAATAAAAGAGTGCTAAAATACGAACTGTGGAAGGGTTTACTATCAAACTCTTTCGACTTTGCTGTACACTTGACTTTTTTACAATAAAACGTTTGTAAAGACTATGCTCATGCCCTCTACTCGAGGGCTGACATCCAAGTGCTTCATGGCATCCTGCTGCAAAACCAAGTGTGGAAACAGAAAATAACGGGAACACCACAAACGGCTGGGGAAGACCGATGACTCAGTGCACCACGCTGGGGATTTACTCTAAAAACCCATCTGAATCTAAATCTTTGCTTCATGCTTTCCTTTTAATGTGTCAACTTTAAGGAAAAAGATGAAAATTACTTCTTAAAAATAAAACAAATACTGTCTAATTTTTGAGTAGGAGGAAAGTCCTCAGTATAGAGGAGCAAGCTTTAGCCAGGGGAAAAACAAAACACCACTAATACACCCAAGGGGGAAAAAAAGCTTATGTATCTTGAGGAAAACAACAACCAAAAAAAGGGGAAAAAAAAAGAAAGAAATTAGAAGGCAGAAGGGAGGGAGAATAGATCGCCCAAGTACTTCACATTCAGGATTTACAAACTGTATTTCAGGAAGTCGTAGTTCCACAGAAATACAGGGAATGAACACTGGCCGTCATCCGCAGAAGAAAAACAGAGTGGGGAACACGTGAACAAAGCTGGGCCTACTGGGAAAAACACACAGGGTGGGCAAGCATCTCATACCTGACCTGTTGTATAAGTGAAACAAAGGTAATGTACTGTTTTTTGCTAAAGACCACCAGAAAAGGTGGCAACAGCACCTATAGAAATGGTGAGAAATTCCACAGTCTGCTAACAATGAGTCTACTATGCTGCAAGGGCTTGAGAAAACCAGTCAGCAACCCTTATCAACATCTTGACTTCGGTCCTTCAATACGCACTATTAAGCATAGTCTAAGGTAGTCACAAAACTAGTAAAACGAGGCAAAGTCTCACTATATAGCCTTGGCTGGCCTGGAACTTGCTATGTGGGCCAGCCTAGCCTTGGTCTCGAGTGCAGGGGTTAAAGGTGTGAAACTACCCATACCCATACCCACAGGAAGCAAATTTCCAGGACTCGTGTAGTTTAAAGGATAACTATTGAAATATGAAAAAAAATTGAACCTCCAAAGGAGAAAACAAGACACCATTAAAATGCTTTAATGGAGAAAATGCTCATTTACAAAGTGGTATAGATCGAGGATCAATAAAACTCATGCACACAGTGTAAGGAGGTAGCTATGGGAAGAGAGACACACAAGCATTAATGTGTGACATTAATACCAAAGGATCTTCAGGAACTTAAGATAATTTCACTTCCTTTTCATATATGGACTATAAAGAAAATCAAGTATATAGAAACAAAACAGAATACTGGCAAGGGGGTTGAGGGATCTAGGTTAAAAGGGATATAGTTTCTGTTATTTGAGATTAACCAATGGGAAGTATGGCAGAACAGCAGTCAATATTGCATGACAGTGATGTGGGAGTGTCATATATCAATCCGTTGATTTCATTGGTTAATTAAATAGAGAAACTGCTTGCCCTGATAGGTTAAAACATAGGTGGGAGGAGTAAACAGGAGGAAGAGGAAGTGAGGTAAGACTCCTCAGACAGACCCGACAGCTCTGCTCTCCCAGGCAGCCCTGACCCAGGATGGACGTAGGCTAGAATCTTCCTGGTAAGCGCACCTTGGGGTGCTTACACACATTATTAGAAATGGGCTAGTCTAGGTGCGAGAGTTAGCTGAGAAGAGGCTAGATATAATGGGCAAGCAGTGTTTAAAAGAATACAATTTGTGTGTTGTTATTTCGGGCATGAGCTAAGCAGGCAGCTGGGGTGCTGGGGACATAGCCCCGCCGTTCTTATTTCAACATAACAGGGGAATTTAGGTGCTTTTATATACATAAACTCAACCATCTGAAATGCACATATAAATTTATTAGACTGTAAGTAATTATAATTCTATCAAAATGTCATACCGTATACCTTACACATATACAACGGGAATTGTTATACTACCAATAACTTTGTACCAAATTTAAAATTACAAAGGCCAGGTGAGGTGCATGCCTATAATTCCAGCATTCAGGAGGATGAGGCAGAAAGATTGAGTTTCATGCATGCCTGGGCCACATGGTGAGTTCAAGGCCAGTGAAGGCTATTAAAGGTAGACCTTGTCACAAACCAATAAAACAATAAAAAAAAAATCAAGAGAATGACCACTGCTTTGGAAATGGTGTTTACACTGGTCAAGACCACCTGCTCATTTGAACTGTTTGCTCATCAAATTTGAAGTCCACGTCCATTAAGCGGGCTTCCCTCTCACTCTTTCTCTCACATCTCCAGTTACCTGGCCAGTGTGTGCTTTGCCATGCCCCACTGCCACCTGTTCATTCCAGGCCTGGACTTCCCCTGGCATGTGTTTCACTGTCCTACACAGCAACTAAGTCGCTGTGCTGACTTTACCTTATCCGTCTGCTGACTCTTCTCTTGGGAATCCACTACCTTCAAGTGCAGGAACCTCTTTATCTTGCCTGACCTGTCCCTCTACCCACCTGCACAACACTCCAACAAAGTTGCCTTCAGTGTTGCCAGGTCATCTTTCTAAGTTGTGCATCTATCCGGTCATCATGGGAGGCACATCAGTCCTGTGTAAACAGCTCCCTAGAGTCTGCTCCCATCATTCCTTTCTGGACCCAGGGCCCCTGTGTACCGGGTCCTCAGAGGGACGGCTCACCACTAACTCCTTTATCTTGCTAACCTCAATGGCTGCCCTGTAAGGAGGCAGTGTGGACTTCACCTCCATCAGGAAGCCACATGAGGTGGTGGTTGAATGCCACAAGCCCCTACCGCATGCTGCTTTACGTCCCCACAGTAGTGTTAGCAAGCACTGTGATCTTCCTTTTGTACCCGCCTACCACAGTCGGCCCAGGCTGACGGCTGAAATAAATGTTCTACCACTCAAAATAGTTCCTTTCTTTCATCTTTAGAAAAATCATCACCAAAGATTTTACTACATCCCTCAGCTCAACTATTTTATCACCTTATCTATTCATTACCACCAGAAAATGTACTATTATTCCCGGGTCACACCAATAGTTCCTTGGATTTATCTGGATGTATTTACTCGTGGTGAGTTTATTATGGAAGTGTTACAAAGCATTCCTACTCGGTAGCTACGCACTGTGCTGCAAGTTGAGGAAAGCAGGCAGCCTGGAGGCCAAGAACACAGGAGAAAGCAAGCAGTTAGTGCAGAGGATACCAGAGACAAAGCCTCCCTTCCCTTCGGACTAAACCCTCTGTTTCGTTATCTTTTCCTAGAAGGGTGGTGTGCAATTCTGTTGATTGTGTATCAGCACTTCACAGTCGCCCAACATCTTTTTCAAGCATGACTCAAACTGAGTATGATGTGTCTAGCGCCAGTCAAATAATCCATCCCTTTCAGCCTCTGGGTCACACTCCCTTCAACACTCAAGATTCCTGTCTTCTTGTCCACGATGGCCCCAATGGTATTTGTTTCAATGTAGCTACTGAGAAATAAAGACTATTCTTTTTCAAACACTGTTCATTTTGCATTCAACAACATCCTCATATACTTACCCTGCTACGTTTCTCTCAGGAGTATAACCACCTCTCCAATTTGTTATGAGTGTTAGGAGTTACATCCGGAAGCTCAGGTGACTTGTGCTCCTACCTGACTTGGTGGCATACTAACTATGGAAAAACTAACAAAGGTGGGGGGAGGAGGAGGAGAAGGCAGGAAAGAGAGAAGGAGGGAGGGAGGGGGAAGAGAGGGGGGTATTTCCTAATTTTATGGTGTAAAAAGAGATGATTTAAAAAAAAACTAGCCAAAGTGGTTTAATACAAGTCTTCAGCTCTCTACCTGAACTGAACAGAAACTCTGGGCTCCACACTTGACACCCCTGATAATATCAACCGCTCTCTGATATTTACTGTTAGTCATGTATCCTCCACACCCCTTTGTCCTTTTTTCTCTAGCTCTGATCTCCACCCAGCATCCATATGGAGTGACTTCTGGCCTGGTTATTTCCTGTTTTTAACAGCAGTAATTTGGGTAGCACAGCCCAGATAAGGCCCAAGAGTCTAGTTCAGCCTTCTATATCTGGGGCATCTACAGAGGCTTCTCTGTGTCAATGGATATCTCCAAGTGCAAGCAAATGTTGTGTATCAATGAGGTTAAAGGAATTCATGGTTTCACCAGAATTTAAGTGGGGTCTAAAATACAGAACAGACTGATGACTTTAAGGGCATAATTCAGTGCGCAATAGGAAAACACACTACGACAGGCTCTCCTCCTACTCAGACCCCCGGCGGGAGAGTAAGAACACTCACAGCAATTACCCATCAAGCACCCTGAGGATGTAATCTGAGGATGTGATTGGGGGTGACAAACAGCACACCCAAGACAGAGGCAGTTCTGTATCTGCAACGTCACAGCTATCTTCCCTTAGTCTCGGTGTACTTCCTATGTTCTCTTCTGAAGTCCATGCTGACAGTGGACATCCGAGCATCAGAACTTACCAACCTCTCTCACATAAATAGTACATCACTTGCCACGACTGCACATCTTTATTTTTTTGCTACAATACACTGATCTATTTCCAATTATGCTTTAAATAAAGAAGCACTTACTATACCAAAATTGCAACTGCATTTCTAGACATATGCTGTAAAAATAGAAGTAAGTCTTAATTCTCAACTTCCATGGCTGCTGACAGGTTCTGTAGTTATGACCACACCCATAGTACATGGTTAAGTGAAATATATTACAAACACACCAGGAAATGTGGCTCTTGGAAGCTCTTCCTCAGACACAATACCATTTACAAGTTTCTAAGCAAGATTCAGTGAGCACCAGAAACTGCTGTCACACATACTCACGGTTGATGGGTCGGTTGGACTTGTCCTGGAAGCAGGGGACTGAGTTCCACAAGGAGAGCAGACACGGCGAGTGAGTGCCAGCACCACCTTCCTCCAGCACATCTTAACTGCAGACAGGCCAGGGATTCTGCAGTCTTCGAGCATTAACAATAAACCACACTAGGTTGTTTTCCTAATTCCTATGAAATGAGTCAGTAGGTCAAGCAACTGATCCACTTGAGAGAACAATCCTTACAGCTACACTCCCTATTTCCAGTAACCCAGCTCCTTCTCTCTGTCCTGACCCAAGAGCCCAAGGGGCCTGGCAGACCATGTATCCACTGACAGATAGCCAGTCTGCCCTGGGTTTAGCATCTTCCTTTGACAGAGGGTACCGCTGATATAGGACCATATGGTTAGCATAACTTCTCTGCTGAGACTATGTTATTTATCTCTGTCACCCCAAAGAAGGGTCTGGTGCTTAAAATAAACATAGAAACCCAATTAATTACACCTCTAAAAGTCCCCCCCCCCCGAATAAATCACTTCCTTCTGCAAAAATACCTTCTCCTCCTCAAAAGATCTTCATATTCAGAAGACTGGACTCAGTAGCCACTGTTAAAACACTCCTCTGGGTCCTCCTGACGTCCGGCAGAGTCAGCCGCTGTACCTCAGAGAGCACAAGTGTGTGAAAGCTACCAGCTTTTAAATCCTGCCTTATAAATCCATGACTCAAGCTGTTGAACACCTTTAGAAACTACCACCTACTCACCAGAAGAGAGAGAGAACTGTCGTGTAGCTAGTGACCTTCTACATCGGAAATCACCAGCTACTACTGGTGAGCGGTTGGTAATTCCAAGAACTCATCCATGCAGGCAGATCTAAGGACACACAGCTCGACACGGAGGTGGCTAGATCGGCTGTGACAGTTCTTCAGGGGGAGACTTTTGCTTTCTGAATCCACAAGGGCTTACTTTCTGTTTTGTTCTTTTTTTTTTTCCTTTTTCCTTTTCTTTTAAAAGACAAGGTCTCGTTCTGATCTTGAGAAACTGCCTGTGTGATCAAGCCACCAACTGAAAACCTGCCATTATAAGCGAGGGATTTCACAATGCTCATTCCAAAATCTGCGGCTATTCATTTCTGGAAGTGACTCATTGAGGAAGAGCGGCTGTAGGGGGTGGGAGGGAGTGATCACTTTTAGGGGGACAGCCTGCATTCTGAGAACCGACCCCAGCTCAGCTCCTGAGTCACCTCCCTCCAGATGACACGCAATGACCAGTCTCCTCATGAAAGCCACTTGGTGGATAAGAAACTCCTTGGGCTGTGCACCCACCCAGCCTGGCGCCTGCCCCTCTGGGGGCTATTTTCACATAAATCAGGAGAGGAGAGGAGACAGCAGCACTTGCCACCTGTCAGGACTTCGTGGCTGGTGAGTAACTAGCACACAGAGACTACTTCCTGTGAGTATTTCCAAAAGAGCGCATGCTATTTCCTTTAGAAAAATAAGAAGTGAAAAGGAAAGCTACAGACGGAAGAGAAACAACTCCAACAGTGAAGCTAAAAGCTTGCAATGTGATCGCTGCGCTGTTTACCCAGACACGCCTAGTTTTAATTTGGTTTCCCAACCCCTGTGTAATTAAGACAGCCAGAGAATAGCATGGGGTGGGGGTGAATCACAAATGCGTAGACCTTCTGAGCGCGTGACCAGAAAAGTAATTTTAAGGTTCAAGAGAACCAAATCTGAAGCTGGCTAGGGCATTAACCCTTGCAGGAAAGAAAAAGTTGCTTTTGTCCCCAAATTTCAAACATGAAAATCCCCTTTCCTCTCAGATGACATTAACCAGACATTAGCCATCCCCCTACATCTGTGAAATAAAGCATGTTTCCAGGCCTGTCTGAAGGGAGAGTCACAGTATCAGCAGCCCACATGTCACCCAACACTAACGTGTCCTCTGAAGCTGCCAACAAAATATGATGTTTTGTATTTTCCAAACCGATTACTTTATGTCACAGAATGGAGTGGGAAGTAGAATTCTTTCGATTCCTAGGAAGGGTGGAGTATCAATGGCGACGGAGGGCAGCGCTGGAGCAAGAGCAGCTTTAAAGCTGCTTTTATCTGCCTGTTAATTCACAGGCCTTCACCACTGGTGAGGAGGTCAGAGAGGTGTGGGGAGCGGTGTGAGCCAAGGCCAGAGGAAGGAGCAGTGTCTGCTGTGGGCAGCTGTGGATAGAGACAGACCATATCCCACCCGCATGTGCGGCAGTGCCTTTGGATGTTTGTCCTCTTTTCTTCCTCATTCTTGCATACTTAAGATGGAACATACTGTTTCTGTAATTTTTAGTTTTGTTGTTGTTGCTTGCCTTTGACAGTACTGAGGACTGAGCTCAGGGCTTCACACACTCTCCTGTGGGGCTATATTCTCAGGCTATCAAACTGATATTGTTGAGGAGCATGGGATCTATTTCCACAATGCAAATACAATTTACAAGTTGAGGGCAAGCCAAATGGATCTACAATTGAAAGTGAGAATATACTCTCACTATACAAAACCATACTCATCCTGTGAGACCCAAGGAGACCTCAGTGAGAGATGGCGATTTCTCTAAAGGGAGAAACAGTCAGTGTTTCAGAGATCCTCCTGCTACTACACTGGGGAAGGAAAGCATTGATGGCATTCTGAGGATGGCTCAAATGCTCACATAGCTCATTTCCCCTCTTACCAACAGGAAACTTCCCTTCCCAGAGGTCTCAATGGCTGTGTGGCTGACCAGGCATGTCTCTGCTTGCTGCTAACCAGGAGAGTCTTGGGAGGTCAGTGAAGAGATTTTAGGAGGAGAAGGAGAAAGCGAAGTCAAACTAAGAGATCATGAGGCAGATGCTGGGGGAGGGGGGTGGCAGAGAACACGCCTGAGCACGAGGCAGTGTCGAAGGTCACTGCTGTCCTTGGTATGCTTGCTTGGGTATTCTAAGCTGGACACTCAGAATGTGACTGAATCCCAAGGCTGTTCCAGGTCTCGCTGTTACCTGCACTGTTGTGAACACCATTCAAGTATACAAAGTCCACCCTCTTCAAACAAAATAAAACCCCGACACAAAAGCGCTTCATCTCCTTAACATTTACTCAGAGTCCCTGTTAGACAGCGCAAACAGGCGGATTCTTTTCACTGCACTTTATGGACAGGAGACACAGAGGCCTCATGCAGGTAGGATGCCAGCTCTGGGTCCCAGCACCTTTTGCTGATCTGCTCTTAAAAATGTCATCCAACCTATTCAGGTCATTTTCAATGCCCATGACACACAGGCCTGGCTCGGGCATTACCCACACAATTCTCAGAGCAGCCCTATAGGCTAAGGTCTATTATTACCCCATCCTACTACAGATAGGGGAACAGGGAGCTTGAGGACTGGCCTAAGGTTAGCCAATCAGGGGACAGTGGAGACAGCACTCAAGTCAGGGCCTGAGGTGCACCTCTAGTCAAAGAGCCCCAGGAGAACCACCTAAGGCCACAGAGGGCCCTAAGGAGGCGGCATTTTTAACATGCCACTTGCAAACATAGTTTCTACAAACTCCAATCAAAATTTCTAACAATTAAGTGCTAACACAAGTCTAGAATGAACAGGTCTGTCTGTCTACAGTAAACAGCTTCATGTGTCTTACAAACTTTGCCTGCCGGATCAGTGACACTAAATTTGAGAAGCAGAAGGATTCAGAGGACCTGTTTTCAATCAGGATGGATAAAGAGGACTTAAAATCAGACCTTCGCATCTATACCCCTGTTCACTGAGATGCAACAGACGCCTGGCCAAGGCTGCGAATGCATAAGGAGCTGGGCACCTTAACCTCTCCGATGTATGCTCACACCTTGTTAATGTGAGCCGTACATTTCCCCTTGCCACACTCAGGCCAAAAGGAAGATCTTTCGTCCCTTGTGCATGGTTTTATTTCAAGGAAAAGCAGGTAGAAGTCCTGCTGACAAGGAATACACTTGAGTTTTATGCAATTCTTTCCCCTTTGAACTTACTCAGTTATGTCCTTCCTGGGGACCCATCAAACTGCTGTTCCCAAGGACCCGTAAGGCAGGTTGTCTAAGGTGGCACCTGGGAGTCTCCTTGGTCTCAGTGCCATTTCAGTCCTCGAGCAAAAGGCCATCCCTCATTCCAATGCCATGTACATCTGTACTTGGTCTAGAATGTTCCCCAATCATTCCTAGTACTTGGTAGCACAGTGCTTGGTCTGTTTGACACCCTTATTTTATCTCCCTCTCCTTACCTGCTCTGTATCATGTTGGGTCACAGGAAAAAAAATTTCAAAAGATACGAAACAGACCACTGTGATATTAGCTTCATTTAAGACTGAGTAACAACTATCTGCAAGACTCTGGGAAACTGATGCGTGTTACATTTACAGGTCAGAACGTTCCCCGACCCACGGATTCATTTGGTATTAAAAGTTCCTCTCTGTACTACAGTCACAAGATCAAGAATATTTATTGCTATCTTAGCCAGTCACATGTACTTCCTGTCATAAAAAGCTGAACCTGGATGGGATAGTAAATGTGACTACAGGTAGGAAGTGACGACAGGTAGACGTTTCAAGTTTATACTCTAGTTTACCAAGGGTGATTCACTCCCTCTTGGGGAGCCTATATCATACTCTGTCACTGTGGTGACTAATCCCATCATGGCGCAAAAGGAGCTCTCCTTTTCTCCCCAGCATTGTCCCTGGGGGGCTCGAGAGTGGCTGCAATTCACTTCCAGAGTCCATGGGCCAGATGGAAAACTGTGACAACTCAAAGATTTCTATGGGGTATATGTGCCTATTTTAAAGGCACAGGCAGAATTTCCTGTCTATTTCTAAAAGAAAACGAGCTTCGCAACTTCTAGGCTTCTCTGTGCTGGTGGGGAAAGCAGAACCAGTGCACACATGACTGAAAATCCCTGCGCTGACAGGTTTGTTTACAAAGCAGGCCTGGTGAAGTCTGTCCCTCAGTGCCACAGCAGCATGCTGCCAATAACACGTGTACACACACATGCACGCAGGCACGCACGCACGCACGAAGCTGGGGACAAGCTTGGCTTTCAGAGGAAGGTATGAGCTTGTGATTCCATTGGGCAGTATGTAATCCTGGGCCCAGAATTGAAACATACACATTCACACTTTCATCCACAGGCAGATACACACTCACACAATTAGACACTCACCCACAAGCACACACACACAGACACATATATTCACACAATCAGAGAGAGACACACAGGAAGACAAAATTTCTACTCTCCTTCTTTGACAACAGATTCCAAGTTATTTTGGTCCTGAATTTATCCTATTTTAATGTGGAAGTCATGCACATTTACCTGAACTAGAACAGTCTTTTAGCCAGGCTTGGGAAATGGGCGCTCACCTCCATCTTCACTGAGTCGGGCCCATCTGTCATCAAGTCTAGCCAGCAGCTGTCCACCTCTGCTGTCTCTGTCTTCCCTCACACACCTTGTCACCTGTTCCTGATGAGCAGGCTGGTCCTTTTAATTGGTCACTAGCCAACCAGGGACTGTGACGGAAGGCAGAGTAGGCAATGAAAGACGAAGTCCTTGTGATTCCCACGGAAGTCGCTGAGTAGTCACACCTGTTGTATGAAGAAAACGGCTGTCAAATGACCCACTCCATGACATAGACTCACATCCATAACCTCCTGAAACTTAGTTTCTGTGTGTCACCACACAGAAGACTCTCTATTTTGCTGAGTCTATAGAAAAAAATTATGTCCGTCATCTTCCAAATTTTCATTAAAATTTTAAGTATGAAAGTGTTTTATATAAAATTAAGTCACTACTAAGAAGCCAGAGTATTTGGTGAAACTTTCTCAAAAGAAAAACAAAAAACCACACACACACACACACACACACACACACACACACACACACACACACTAACTGATCTCAGAAGGACAATGCTTAGAGCTCTGCTTGATCTATGAGCACTGTGCGTTTCTTGGGGGTTTTACAGACATGGGCTCTAGCACTTTCAACCAGAGTATATAGCTGTGTTACCCACTACTGTACATTACAGATCAAGAACCTGAAGTTTGAGGCAGGTGAGATGCACGGTGGGTAAAGGTGCTTGGCTTGCCATCAACCCTGATTACTTAAGCTCGATCCCGGGAACTAGCACAGGAGGAGGGAAACTGTTGACTTCCACAGTGTGCTGGACCATGTGCATACCCCTCCATACATGACAATAAAGAACACAACGAAACCCTGAAGTTCCGCCACATGCCCAAGACCGCATTAGCTATAGCACATCAGGAATGACGTGCAAACTGACGTGAGGATGATCATACAGGTCATTGAAGCATATCAAATCCTTTAAAGAGCACAGTTTTCAGAATGCTGGATAACAACCGAGCTCAGATCCCTAGCACTCACATAAAAGCTCAGCACGGTGACACCAGCACTAGAGGGTGGGGAGGGAAAGGGGAGACAGGCATACTACGGTTTGCTGGCCAACGAGCATAGAAACACAGAAAAAAATAACTAGGCTAAAACTGATGGAGGAAGGTCACTGGCTAATAAAGAAACTGCCTTGGCCCATTTGATAGGCCAGACTTTAGGTGGGTGGAGTAAATAGAACAGAATGCTGGGAGGAAGAGGAAAAGCTCAGATGCGAGGCGCTGCTCTCTGGGGCAGATGCGATGAAGCTCCGACCCAGGATGGACATAGGCTAGAATCTACCCAGCAAGCGTACCTTGGTGCTACACACATTAATAGAAATGGGCCAGGCAGTGTTTAAATGAATACAGTTTGTGTGTTGTTATTTCGGGGCATAAGCTAGCCAGGCAGCTGGGAGCAGGGCGACAGGAATGCAACCCACAGCTCTTTCAACAGAAAAAACTGGAAAGCTCCAGACTCAGTATGAATCTGTGTCTCAGAGGGTATATAGCAGAGAGTGATAGACAGAAAACACGTGAAGCTCTCCTCTGGCCTCGGTGGCCAGCACACGTATCTGCACACACATATGTGCACACACATACAAAAAGAAAAGGGTAAGACAATACTATATACTTGGGTGGGGGCTCTTAATTCCTGAGGAATCACCTCAATTCCTGCAGCTGCCACTATGCAGCAGGGAAGTGAAGTTCACCCTAATTATAACGCTGACACACACAGTCACGAGTGTCCAGGCCTTGTGCTACCAGTGTCTCTTCTCCTTCACCTTCTTGACTGGCTAACACCACAGAATAGAGTGCAAACACAATATGGTCAGTTTGTCATCCCTACAAACGGGAAACTGTCCTCAGATTGACAAAACGACACTAAATTACACTGCAGGTGTGTAAGACCTCTGCAGTTACACAGTCAAGAGTTTGAATTACACTGCAGGTGTGTAAGACCTCTGCAGTTACACAGTCAAGAGTTTGAAGAGTCAGGCTTAAGGAAGAGAAATTTCAACACGAAGGCTAGATTTTCTTTTTCTTAAATTAAGAGTAGCTTGTATATTTAAAAATTTCAAGCGCTTCTACAAAAATCTTCCTCTCTAAAGTCTAGAAGCTGACATTCAATCTCTGACCAAAAAATAACATGACTATCATATCTCAAATCTTTTTCACATAATAAAAAACAAATTATTTTCTACTATGACATACAGTCTTAATAAAGCAGTTGATTCAATTTGAAGTCAGTTTGTATTGGGATACCTTCAGATAATGCCTCCTCAAACAGTGTAAGAGAAACTGCAAGCATCTGTCAATCACACTCACCTCCAGCACAGCTGCAAGGTGGTACCCTGGTTGTCTCCTTCATTCCAACAGCCGCAGGTAGGCCTACTCCACAAGTCTGAAGAAACCAAGCTCACAGGCTCCAGATACCACACTACTTCTATACCGACAGGGCATCTGCAAGCTGTTAGGCTGGCCTTGAGCAGGCCCTGCCTGCAAGCACAAAGCAGACTTCACGTGGCGCTCAATCATCACTTGATGTGGTTCACGGATTGCATCTAGTCTGTCTTTACCCAACCATCTAGAGATCTCCACTTCCTTCCAGAAGAGCTGGGGACCAAGGGAAATTTCGTATTATAATAATCTGAGAAAAGGCCTCACCAGCAAGGGGTGATGGCCTAGCTCTGTAATCTCAAAACCTATGAGGCTGAAGCAGGAGGACTGCTGGGAATGTGAGCCCAATCTAGGCTACACAGGAATCTCTAGGCCAGGCTGGGCTACTGAGCGAGACCACCTCAGAAAACAATCTGGGGTGGTGTCACAGAACTGTAATCACGGCATCCTGGAGGCTGAGGCAGGATGATCACAAGTTCCAATCAAGCTATGCAAAGCATAGGGAGAGCCTATCTAAAAAAAAAAAAAAATAGAACCACAAAAACTAACCCATATGTAATTGGCGCCAGTGAACCAGGTGTGTTGGCTCACACCTACAATCCCAGCATGAAGAAGGATTAAACTCAATGTGAGGATAGTCTAGGTTATATAGCAAGATCCTGTCTCCAAATCAACACCTCACTTTATCAAGATCCTGACATTAAATATACATATGTATTTGTGTATGTATTAGATTAAGTGGTTTTGCTTTCTGCCAACATCCTTCAGTCCAAGGTTTACAGAAAGGGTATTCGGAGAAAGGCTGAATGGGATTTCTAATGCAAAACCTCAAACACAGTGACTTGTCTCAAACAACCCTGAAACATAGTGTGGTTTGCCATACCCATGCTTTTCCTAGTGACTGAAACACTCACTTCTGAGCTCGCCAGAAAGAAACTCAAGGAAGCATGGCTGAGGATGACTCAGTATTAAGTTGGTAGAGCTGAGGCATCCATTACTGTAAGGGATCAAAACATGATCAGGGAGTGTTTGGTCACCCGAGATTACTGTGTTTGCAGTAGAGGAGCAAGCTTTTTCCTAAACACTCGGTTCTGATTTATAGTCTGCTCCTTCTCCCCTAAGCAAAGCACTGCTCTTCATAAAAATACAAATAAACAAGAGCACATAAATGCTGAGAAGATTAAAATATGCGCACATATCTTCCTGGAATTCAAAAATCTGAGACTGGGGGTGGGAGAAGCTGGGGGAGGAAAAAGGTGGCCTGTCATTCACCAGATGACATTTCTGAGTGTGATTTCGAAAGGACAGCACTTGTTTTCCAGAAGGGATCCTGCAGTACTGACCTGAGGCATGGTGATGACGCTGTGGAGGAGGCTGCCAATCAAGGCTGATGCTAATGGTATTCCTGTCTCAGAGGCTGCACAGGAGCTGAAAGAACAGAAGCTTGGGCCCAGCCATTCAGTCCTTGGAAGCTGTGGGGCCTAAACTTGAGACGCCTGGGGGCGGGGGAGGGGGGGAGGTTTGTCTTGGAGACCATTCAGGGAACAGCATTTGGTTTCCTCCATTTAACCAAGTCACCCAGGCATGGAATGCACAGCTTTGCCAGACAGAGCATTCTGGATGCCTAGGAACAGCGGCTTGTACAGGCCACTGATGCAGAGAGAGGCTAACTGTTTCCTATTGCTCTCTGCTGAATGGCAGCCTTGACGTCACAACTCGGAATTACTGGAGGGACAAATAAGGCACAAGCCAAACGGGCTTCACTCTGTCCCAGTGGCAGGGCTATTTTAGTCTCCTTCTGACACCTTCTGGGGCTGCAGACACAAATGCATGCCGCTTACACAGAGAGAAAGTCTCTAGACAAATCAAATAGACCTCTGGTCAAAACCCTGGACCAATCACAGTTCCTGAGTTAAACTTGTTTCTGACAGAGTAGCCTTTCCTGAGAAAGGCCTGCAGCTATTCAGATCTCTGCAGGGTTAAACTTCCCCAGTGTGTACAGGCCAGCCTCGGAAAGAGGGATGGTATACACATTCTGGGGATACTTAAGCACTCATGAAAGCGGGCAGTCTCAGCAGAACACAGACATTGTTTCAGAGATTTTAAGTTTGAGCAAGTAAATATGCAGGGTAGCACCCTGCTGCAGGGGTCTAAGTCAACAGGTCAAAATGCTAGATGCTGGCGGCACAAACCCGCCAGCAGTTGCAAGTTGTTTGTGTGAGTCAGAGTTGTTTGAAAAGCAGTCTTCTGTGTTTCACCTTTCCACAAAAACTATGAATTATGTTTAGCTACACGAATGTCAGGTCATCTCTTTTCAATATAAATGCACTGCTAACTGTGGACACCCCGTGCAATCTGCAGTTGGGATACGAAAGCCATCTTCCACTCCCTTCACAGAACAAGATGGAACTTTCTGTGGCTGCTCAGTATCTGCCCCACACTAAATTCCCTGTGTCTGTGGCAATTTGCAGCTTTTCCCAGCCTTAGGTTGAACCAACAGTGCTCGGGCAGCTAGAGGACAACTCAAGCTGTAAACCCAGGTCTGGAGGGGAGGACGGACGGTGCCTGTAGGAGGGTCTGAGCGCAGCACTCAAAGCCAATGGAGAACTCTTGGGGGAGAAACACTTCTGAGAAGCTCTGTCATTTTTAGTAGCTTTTAAAAAACCCAGTGTTCCCAGAGCACTCTCCTCTGAGGTTTCCATGTCAAGCTTATTTCAAGAGAAGGCTCTGCTATGGAGAGCAAAGGTTTACATAGCCAGAAGTGAGATTATAATCCATGTTCCCCTCAGG